TTTATCTTCCAGTCTCTTGCGTTTAAAAGACTCTCAGTGATGTTCTGTGCAGAAACAGTGTGGTAGTTTTCAGTGTAGGATGCTTTTAGCCCTCCAGCTCTGTTACTTTACATGCTGCTGAGGCTCATCCACCCTCATAGTCCCTTTCTGCTGTCCTGTGGCTCTGTTACTGCCTGCTCTTCCACAGGAGCCAGCACCAGCCTAATGCCTTCCCGCAGTGCTGCTGAAGGAGCTGCCATCTGGTTTACTTACTGATTAATCTCTCTTGAGCAAAAGGCTGAAGGAGAAAAGATGATAATGCAGTTAACTGCAGAGACCCAGAACCCTTCCAGACTCAGACATGGCAGGGAGAAAAGCAGCCTCTTTCCTTCTCTTCCCACCCTGCTCCTGCCCGAGCAACTCTCCATTCCTGCAGATGAGCCAGGAGGCTCAATCTCTCACCACCTCCCCAGGTCACTCTGAGACTTGTTGTTCACTCAGCTGGAGGCTTCAGCCTCCGTTACTTCATAGGGATGTCCCTTTGCTAATCAGAGATACCAGCCTTCAGCATAAAAGCATAAAAACCTGCCTGTGCCTTTCCTTGGTTGACTTGCACTCTGCACCACAGCGTGGTCCAATCATCTGCTTCCAGCAAGCAGCAACCAGGCTCCCCTTCTGCTTCCTTACACTCCAGTGTCTCCAAATCAAATTAAGAGAGCAAATGCAGGCAGCCCCAAGGAAAATTACTGCTGAACTATCAAGCAGCCACAGTGCTGCAAATCTCATGAGGTTAGTGAAACTAACAGAGCACTTTCCAGCTGTTACGGCCAGGACTGCAAGGGAGTTTCCCCTACAGGCATGTAGTTGAGTTTGACTTGTGAGTAGACCCCATGGGCTGGGGTGGGAGTGTCTGTGCTTTGGATCTGTGCAGAGGATGCGAGTCACATTACCTACCCAGTGTGTGCCCTCAAACATTTTCAGGTCCAATGGATCTCCCCGAATCTTCTTATCCAAAACAACCAGAGAATGACAGCTCACCATGGCTCCACACACAGGTCCCCAGGGCAGAGGAGTGCTGGATGGGAACTTATGGATTTTCTGAAACCTGATTAAAAGCAGAAGGTTAGTGGGACTGCTTGTAAGAGGGATGTAGGGACACAAGTCCTCAGCTAGTGCATGGAAGTGCTGCTGTGCTGCATTCAGTGGAGCTGAGCCTAACAACTGCAAGCAACACGTTGTCCTACCCATCCTTCTGATTAACAGGTCAGATGCATTCAGGTGGCCAAAAAGTACCCAATAATTAATTGGCACGAGTTCAGCTTGATGTGAAGTAACCAAGATGGTAAAACACTCAGAGGAGCTGGCACAGGAGTCCTGCTTGGCAATTGCTGTTTGGTATTAGACAAAGCAGAGAAGACACCATCAGAGAAGAAACAACTTGCAGCAGGGATCTCAAATTTTGGCTGTGTGCCCTAGGAGAAGATTTGTGAAGCTGCAGTATGGGAAGGGGGTGCATCCACTTGGGCTGGTGCTGTGCAGCCACCGGGCTGGATAAGCACCATCAGGCTGCTCTCAGCACCCCTGGAGACATGTGGGAGAGCCACAGGGAGCCTGACCTTCACTTCCAGCTATAGATTTTACATCTGCATAGCCACGGACACCAGATGCTTGTCCCTCACACTTTGGTTTTAAAAATGGGTAAAAGTTGGTTGACTCCTACTGAGTTATACTGAGGCACGCTGCCAAAGATTCATGCTGCAATTTCTTTCTGTGAACAGCCTTGAGGTTTATTCCCTCCTTGGCACCACAGTACAGATGATACACGTGCGAGGCAGGGCTGGGTGAAGGCTCTATAATTACATCATGGGAGTTATTTCCCAGTCCTCTCTTCTCACACACACGTTCCCCTCTAAGAAACTGTCTGGCTGACTCTCTTAGACTACAGCACAGCCCATTACCATTTAAACTGGTATGTTAAGGAGAAATTTAGATAGGTTGTATTTACTTTTGATCACCACTAGCATCCCTTGTCACTAACACAGGCACAGTGAAATAAATTTGGAAGTGAGCAGCGTGACAGCTCACAGCAACATTAAAAGGAACAATGAATCCAAGACCTGTTGTCCCTTTGGGCCATCAAAGTCTGTTCTGTTTCCAGCAAATTATACCTTGTTCGCAGCCTGGTCATAATTGGCTTATTAATTAATTAATACTTGAGAGACACCATGAAACTGCTAAACATCACATAAAACCAAACAACATTTACGTCTTATTAAATGTACAATAGGATATTTTGTAAGTCGAATGAAATTCCCTTACTGTCATTGCCTTGCACTATTCAGCTTAGCTGACGGCTAGTCTTAATATGTTTAAAAATGTGAACATTTAAGAAAGAGCAATTATGCAAATAGGCTAATGAGATCAATGCAGACAGCACTAGCTCCTCCTTGCGTTTTGGCAAGCCACCAGCACTGGTTCCCAGCTGGGTGCAGACTGGACATGTCTGCAAAGAGAGCTTTACATTTTGATAGCTTACAGAGGATTTCTTTTATTACATTAATTTATTCTGATATAAGCAGCAGACCAAAACTGGACCCATATATGAGCAGACACTACCTGCAAGGCTACCTTGGTGGAAATCACCCTGGCACTGCCGTGAGCTGTCTGTCTTTTGGTGGGCTCTAAACCTCTTCAACATGTACCTATGCAGTGTGGCCTCCCTGATGCACTGGAGGAGCGCCAAGAAGAGATTGTATTATGTGCCTGTGATTTGGTCCCACTGGAAGAGTATTTTATTGGTTGACACTTATTAATTTCTTCTCATTAATTTGCATCAGATAGTAATTTACTCTCTGTCCTTTGAGGAAGTATTTGGAATGTGATTTTTCTCCTCTCTCAGTGAATTAATCTTTTCATTCATTTCAGCATTATTATCTCTGTGGTGTTGAAGTATCTGATATATTAACAACTGCTAATGAAAACCTGGGAGTAGATATGGGTGTGTGATTTGTCCTGGCCACTGCAAAAGATTAATATTTTGAGTTTAGCATAACAGGAACTGCAGAGCTGAAGTGTGTTACTGTATTATAGTAATATGAATTAAGTAGTATAATTCTGGATACAGTTAAGTTTAATGTTTGTATAGTGGTTATTTCTTGAGGATTTCAGTGGTCTTGGGGCTTGGAATTGAGATGGAACCTGCCATGGGTTTGAGGCAGTCCCTAAGGACACCTGAGCTTTGCAGGTCTGATCTGTGGTCTCACAGATTTTTCATAGCATTTACAGAAGGTAGGTGAGATTCAACAGGCACCAAAGTCAGCAACACTTAATTTCAACAGAAGGAGCATTATCCTAACATTTAAATGATGAAAGGTTTATTGACTAGATTAAGAATATTTATTGGACTATGCTGCAAATGACATAATTGAAAAGCTCTGCGCATATTCTCCATATTCCCTCACGGTAATTGAAAGCACTCATGCTGCTGCTGACTTCTGTTTGTCTTGAATTAGCAACGACCTTTATGGCTATGCCTGTCAGAGTGGTGCCCATATGCCCTCCTTGGAAGGAAGAAGCCCAGCAGGGAGTAGGGACACCCATTGCATTATTCCTCCCCAAACACATCCCACCGTCTCTTGCCACATACTATTTGCTGTCTCTCCTTATCCTACACAACTCCCTCCCTCCTAACTAGACATTTGGGCAGTACATTCACACTGGAGATTAGCCCTCGCTACATGAAATCCTTCCTTACCGGCTTCCCTCAGATGGGATGATGCCCCACAGGTCCAGTCCATCTTCTGTCAGCGTGCCTGTCTAAATTTAAATAAATACCTAGTTACCCTGCTATTGCCCACACCTTCCCCTGTACATCCCCAGAGGTCCTTCCCCAGCTCCCAGGCAAGGCAAGGAAAGCCTCCTGCCTGTAGTGTGACCCTGCTGCACCAGCACCTGTAGAGGATTTTATCCTGGGGTGAGATCAGGGTAGATGGGGTGGGAAGAAAAAAAAAAATAAAAATCCCATGTTCCTATATCCCATGAAAGCCCCCAGCATCTTTCAGTACCCCAGGAAGTACCTTACTTTGTCAAAGCAAACAAGGTTGATCTGCCCGCAGATATTAATCCTCTGTGGGCTGATGCAGAAAATCTTCTTTTTCTTCAGCCTCCTTTGGGCATAAACAGTGCCTGTTGTCAAGGCAGCGGGGATGGCAGGAGGCACAGCCACGGTGAGGAGGAGGAGGGCCATAGCCACCACATCTGCCACCGGCTTCTGCAAACAGAAAGAGCAACAGGGGCAGTGGGGTGGGAACAGCCTTCCTGCCTGCTACCACCACTCCTTGGGGGTCCAGCCCTCCTGCCCGGAGGAACACACCCTGAGCTCTGCCCCTGGGGATGATAGATTTATTCTGCTTTGTTCTGTCCATCTCCCCTCCCCATTTCTGGCATCTTAAAACTGAATTACAGAAGCAAACAATATTCCAAGGATCCTGAGTGACTGAGGGCTCAGAGCTGGTGCAGGCAGTGCAGAGGCACCCCTCGTCCTTACCTTGTGGGACACAAACACACACACAGTGTAGATGAGTCCAAACACACCAATGACAGAAAGGCCTACGATGAACTTGAATGCATCTCTGTAGAGTTTGAAGTTCACTGGCTTGGGGTAGAGGATGGATCTCACCAGGTCACCTTTAGCCGTGTTGAACCCTGCACAAAGACATGTGCCATACATTGAGTACATGACATAGTGGCATCGTACTGTGTTGGTGCTGTTCAAAAACAGGTAACTTTGCACAAGCCTTAGCCATCAGATGGCAACAAGCATTTCTTAGGGACAGCAGACCTGTGCTGGACTTGAACCACCAAGGGAAACCATCTCTCCTACCAGCCTCTGGGGCTGCCACTTTCCCTCATTAGCAGATGATAAAAGAAATACCAGTTTGCAGCACAACAGCTCTCGCTGGCCCTCTGCCCGTCGGCTTCGTCTGTATGACTTCTGTCCCACAGAAGAGGACGTGTCTCCGGTAGTCTTCCATGCTGTGGGTTTTCCAAGGCATTGAACTCTCCGCGAGGGGCAAGGGGGTTTTAGTAACCGGAATGCTTTCACCTAAGAACAACAGTGCACAGCTTCACTTAAAGGAGAGTCTGTGGAACTCTGCATATCAGAAAGTGCCTACTAGAAAGAGACAGCACCCTTTAGGTGCTCAAGCTTCCCTGACTAATTAGGTTACTTGTATACTAACACATGTGGATTTATGGTGACAGCCATTATAGTTTTAGTCTCAGTATATCAGATGGTTCCTCTGAGGATTTTGTATCAAGGATCTTGGGTCAAATTTTGCCCCCGAACCAAGTTCACGTCTTGTAATTGTTTGTTGCTTATTTATAACACTGACCTCTGTGCTCATATATTGCCTGCCTGAATAGAACTGCTGTGAGATCAGAATCCAGAAACTAAAAAAATACATATTCAGTGTATTGGAGTATTTTCACTTTCTACTCCTGACAGTACATTAATCCTACTTATTTTTAATGTGGATAATACAATGGCAGTGTTCAAAAGTCCAAGACAACTGTGAATTATTCAAGCCACAGTTTTTCCACTTCCTGCTGCAAGCTATTCTAATAAATAGTGAACAATTTGCTGTCAAAACAGGTAGAGACATCTCCCTGACAGAGAACCTTCGCAGGGCTTAGCATTTCAAACTCCAAGACTGCACCTGTGAGCATCCCTTCATTCACAATGCAGCTTCCATCAATCAGGACAGCATCACAGGGGAGAGAGAGATTTTTTCCGTCTAAGAGAAACATGTCTCCAGGGACTAAGTAACAAGACTGCAGCTCTTTGCAACCTGTAGGACAATATAAAAATGAACTTTACTTGCACACAAGTTCTGAGCAATTAAAAAAGTCTCAAGGCACACACAACATTACTAAACTTCTACACTACACGATTTAAGGCCAGTGCTTCTTAGAAGTAATACTGGCTGAAAAGTAACAGGACAAAGATTTGCCCTTGTCTAAACATCTCTCTCCAAAGGGGTGTCTTCAGTTTAATTTGCTTAGTGTCCATAAAACACTGACCAATAAAACCTGTCCAAGGCCTTTACATCTCCCACCACCCTAGCAATTGCCCACCTCAACATCTTTAGGTGGCAAAAATAGCTATAACCCCTATTTTATGGGCAAGGAACTGAGATGCAGGAAAGTGAGCACATATCTCAGTGAGAGCCATATATCTAGACTCCTTGAAAATCGCTCACAAGCTACTTAACAAGATTGTGCAAGTAGCCTATAGCAGAGTGGGGAAGCAGGTCTCAGAAGGCCAGAGTTGTTACCTAGTTGTTTGTTTGTGAAATTAAATTTTCCAAGTTGTTCTTGACTCTTAACACAAATTACTAGGTTCACCTGTATCATTACAGATGATAATGATACAGATGATAATGATACAGATGCATCATTACCGCACTGCATAAGCTGTGCCCACACTCCTCACTGCCCTGCCTGCCTCACCTCCCTCTGCCCTGTTCTCCCTGCAGCTCGCCCTTCACATTTCAGCAGCAGAAATCAACAGGAGCTGTGCAATTCCAGATCCATTTCAACACATCAGTTAATTATACAGGCTGGTGAGGAAAATGAGACGCAGATGACTCACCTTCGCTCTTCGTGCAGACTGTAACCTGGACTTTGTTATGCTCCTCCACAAGGTTGTGCAGCTTGGTAGACTGCTGTTGATGGGAAAGCAATTGCAGTGTTGAAACACCAATACTGAAGTGAAGCAGTAGGTTACAATTCAGTCATCATGCTAACATCACAGAAACTGAACTCTGCTGAGTTACCCAGGGGAGGTTTCACATTGCTTGTTAGAAGTCAGGGTGTGAATTCATCAAGTTAACCTAGAACAAGCTGCTGTGGGAAGATGGACCTAATTTTCTGTTTGCTTCCGATTCATGCCGCTGTATTTCCCTTGACCTTCAAGGGGCTGTTCCTGTTTTGTGCCAGAAGAAACCTCTTTAGCTGCAACATTGCTATCTGCAGTCCCTTAGTAGAAGGTGTCGTGGTTTAACCTGACCAGCAGCCAAACACCACACAGCTGCTTACTCACTCTCCCCCTGCCCCAGGGAACAGGAGAGAGAATTGGAGGGGTAAAGGTAAAAAGACTCATAGGTTGAGATAAGAACAATATAATAATTGAAATAAAATAGTAATTAAAATAATAATGACAATAATAATGATAATAATAGAATATACAAACAAGTGATGCACAGTGCAATTGCTCCCCACCTGCCGACCAACGCCCAACCTGTTCCCGGATAGCAATCCCAGAGGAGTGAAAAATCCCAAAACTGCAATCCCAGAAGAGAGCAAGAGTCCATTCTGGTCAACCCTCAACTATATACTAAACATGACATTATATGATATGGAATATCCCACTGGCATATCCAAATGCAAATTTGAATTTGTAACTCTCCCCCCAGATTGTTCTACTCCTACAGACTAACAAAACACAGGAACTTGGAAGGTCTTTGATTTCCCTGCAACAACTAAAAACATCAGTATATTATCATCGTTCTTCTCATACCAAATCCCATACAGAATCAAAAAACACAGTGCTATTCTAGCTAATGAGAGGAGAAAGTTAGCCCTATCCCAGTCGAAACCAGGACAGTTTCCTTGTGCTCAACAATTTTATCCTTGCTAGGAGGCTATTCACAGGACAACCAAGTTGTAAAAGCTATCGTTACAAAACTGCTATTGCAAGAAGAAAATCAGAAATTCTAATTTAACTCAGTGTCTGTGCTTTGCCAGTTTTGTAACCTAATTCAGACAATTACATAATCCTGAGATAATGATGAAGTCAACTGTCATTGCAAGGCCATTAGTGAGAATGCCTTATCTTGATTTAAAAGTTGCAATTGCAAAAAACTAATCGCTGAGTGTGGATTTCTTCATTAGCATTTTTCGTGTGAAGATGTCAAGTCAGTTTGAAAAATATCCCTAAACATTGTAATTCTCCCTGACAAAATGATCAGTCACACAATAAAACCAGCCTTGCCAAGGAAAGCTCAGTGGACCGTATCTGTGCTCTGCAATACCAGGATGGACACCAACACTTTAAGTACAAAGGTGCTCTCCAAGGGATGCGAGTGCTCGTTCAACATGGGAGTGCTAATCATCCTGCAGATCTTAGTCAGAGATACAGAAACATGATGCACAGTCAACACACCTGCACTGGCAAAAGCCCCAGCTATTCACAAAGCCCTCGGTGAGATGGGTGTGAGGCAGTGATAAAGCGCACCCGTGGCAGGGCAAAGCATGCCCAGGAGCGCCACGTCAGGTGAGCTCGTACTGTACAAAGTCCCACAAGTCCAGGGGCCTGGGACCTACACAGGGAACGTGCTGCGTGTCTCCACCCACCCAGGGAAAAGCAGAGTTGATTCAAAGAAAAGCCAGCTCCTAGAAGGATGAATTATTGCCTCCTCCTGGGCAGCACTCACAGCGAAGTTTGCTATACCACCTTCTCAAGGAACCTTTCAAAGGGCTGAATCTTGCCCTTCCCCAGTAACTCAGTGCAAAAGCAATGATTTTAGCAGTGAATTTGGAGGCAGTGTGAGCCAGGCCTGGCTCTGAAGCAGCACATGAGCATGACAGTCACGTCAGTACACCCCAGAGCTGCTGTCCCTTCACTACTGCCATCACCTCTGATCACATCTCGCTGTCTGCAGGAACTGTAATTCTCAGTGCTGTCCTCTAACCTTTTTATTTTTCCTGAAGATTAACAAAACATTTACGAGGACTTAGGAATCCCCAGTTCATTTTTGCTTTTAAATCTTAACAATACAGAGGAATGTGATACCTAATATTCAGACCCAAGAGACTTAACATGTTGCCTGCCAGACTCCTGTTCCTATCACTGTTTCCCATCTGTAGTTTCACTCACACAGTTTATTTTTTTCCCCTATTCTATAATTTCTCCATGTGATTTTTGCCTTCCCTGTGTATTTAAAGTGTGTTCAGAAATCAAGGACATATTTTCCAAATTCCCAACAACAGTGTTCTGCAATTCCAGCAAGAAGCACCAGCAACATCACTTGGCTGCACAAGGATACTCAATAGCAGGCAAACACTGCATAAGACTTAGCTCAGCTTGGCTTTGCCATAGAGACTGAAGGTTTCAGGTTTATCACAGGAGAGTGCTTTAGGTCAAACAGTGAATGAGCCAGGACTATTAGAAAATTCTTCTAAGCAGCTGTATCCATGATAGAAGTGCTTAATAAATTTGAGAAATAAAAAGTCGTGTTTCTTTTTGCTGTTTAGACCTGTTATTTAGCAAACCCTAAGAGAAGTGAGTCCTCCTGAAATTACAGACTCACGGATATAGACCACCTTCCTTACAAACCCCGGGTATCAGACTTCAAGACCCCTAGGTATGACCCTTTTAACTCTTCTATAGCAATAAATCTGTAGTAATACAGCAGAACACATAGCAATAAAAAATAACCATAAAGAGCATATAAATAGCTACTTGTGTCTACAAGAGATGAAATTGCTAGAAGAGTGCAGGATGGGGAGCTGGCAGGCTGCGGGGCAGACTCACCTGTCTGAGGTCGTATACAGTTAAGCCAACAGAAATGATCGACAGGACTATGATGGCCACTGAATATTCAATATAGCCCTGGCTCAGCCACAGTGTGAGGGTGAAGGCTTGGAACACGTAGAAAGGGTTTAAAATCTGCAAACGCAAACATAACACACGTCAGGGACAGTCATAATGCGTCAGGAGAGATCAAGTGTGGGACAAGGTGAGAACACTTCATTACAGCATCCAGGAGTCTTAAACACCAATTTAAAGGGCTGTTTCACCATCCCAAGGCAGCATTCTTTCATTAATGTTTTAGAGCATTAATAACCTCCAGCTCTGAACTTTCCAGCTTACACTAGTTCGTGTGTTTGTAATTAAAAGCTGTTGCTAACCAGTTACTATGCAACAGCAACTATCTTGGCAACTTAAAGTCAGACTTGAGGGACTTTAAGTCAGTTGGTTTCCCATTGTTACCATCTAACAAAGGTGACCTTAACATTTCTGATTCTAAGTAATTGCTACACTGGAGACACTACTCAAACGGCGGGGGCGAGGGCAGGTGAAAGACTGAGTTACCGTAAAAATCTTTAATACTTTGTGATTTAAGAAACTCACTGTGAATGTGATGTTTATTTGGAAAAAGGAAAATGGTAAAGAAGAACTAATGGTCTGTGGAGGCATCAGTAATCAGTCCAACTACAGCTAAAATGAAGGCTTGGTTTCCTCATACTTTCATACTCTTAGCTACTCCACATTGTGTCAGCTTTACAATACCAGTCATCACTCACTTTAATGTGCTATGTTAAAACAGACCACAAGCCCCACTGAAGTCTGAGAATATAATTTTAGTTATTGTGGTGTGTAACTAACAACAAAATAATTACATGAAGTTTTTCAGAGATTTGCCCACCACTTGGCTTGTCTGAAGGAGTGACAGACTTCTCTGTAGAACTGGTTTAACTAAAATAGCCACTGAAAGAGCTTTCTGCATAAAGATTGGAATTGAAATGAATTATTCATTTGAAAAATTTGGTCCCTCAATGAAAATTTAATACTTTCTTTGACATTCACTAGGACAAAGAGACAGGCACTAAATCAGGGTGCCAGCCTTCGGACACTGAAGCTGTATCTGGACTGAAATACCATAAGCTTATGAGGACCAGTCTGCCTCCAGGCACAACCATTAATATTTCAAACATGAAGCTTCAGCCTTGGATGGAAGTGCAAAGTTCAAATTAAATAAATTTTTTTAGAGTTCTACACTGGAGTTCTCTTCAAAACCATCTCCAGAGGGCACTGGAAGGTTGGTATCATCATATCCAACCAATTTCAGGAGCCCTGGAGCTTTTAATGTATTTTGTAAGGTTTCAAACGAACTCCACTTAAAGTTCAGACACATAGTAGCTTGAAGTCCCATTACTCATAACTCTTTACCATTTTAAAGGTATTCATGCAACATCCATAGTCCCCTAAAGCCAACGCAGATGACATGACAGTATCCTGTAGGCAAAGCCTCTGCTTACAAGTTGGCAAAAATATATGTCCAGCATTTTTATACGCAAACTCAGCAAGTAACCAGCCATAAATGTCTCTCCCCTTATCCACAAGATGTGTTTGCTCTGTCCTCTGTAGAGGAAGAACAGTCTTGCACTGTGCCCTTATTTATGCAGGAAGAAAATTGTCTTGTGTCTATGTCATAGGAGAAGAACTTACTAGGTAAATAAAGCAATTCTAAATAGGAATTTTGAAAACTTTTCCCTCCATTCTAAAGCATACTCATGATTTACACTGCTGTTGAGGCCTCAAACAAGCCCAGCACAGCATTTCTCTAATGCCTTGTACTACCTTTGGATGACTGAAACAAAGCTATTAAAGAGGAGCAAGTGTGCCTTAGTTGTGCCAATAAAATTTCACTGAAGATCATTACCAAGAGCCTACATGAAAGGACACGGTCACTGATGTGGCTGTGGTCAATCCTAGCAGTTGCAAAAAGCATGACCACTTCAGGTGCATATCATCGCTCAGCCACGAGGCAAGATGTCCCAGCTCATAGGACACGTTCAGTCAGGAATAAGGGCCTACAGCAGAGGAGGAGGACATCAGTCTTCCATACTACTGCTCTTCAAGAAGGAACACAGTCAACATAAGGGAAAAATTTAGTTGTTATAAATATGCAGCACCAAGCATCCTTTTAGCTTCACATTCTTCCCTGCAACCTTTTGCCAAGAAGGTGTACTAACAGCCAAAAAGGAGGTCCATCAACTTCCCTCCATAGCTTATGCCTATGAAGCACCAATCGCCTCATCCCAGAGCGTCCAGGTGAGACCTTCAAAAAACTTCCTACCTGACCCACCAAGTGCTTGTCTGACTTACTGACCTCTTTTAAAAGTAACTTCCAAATAGGACGAATTTCAACTTCAATGGCATTAGGTCCACACACCAGCTGCCTGTGGGAAGGTAAAGAAGAGTTCCCCCTGTTATAGCTTAGTCATGCAGGGCAAGACTTTATGGGGAAAGCTGTGCACCCAAATACCATTAACACTTATCTAAAAATTTAAGTCCTGAGGGGCAACATATGGCTAAGCACGACAAATAAATCTGTCAGGAAGCTACTGTATCTGAGAGGACTTTACATAGAGGCAGAATTGTACTGTTTCCTTGCTGAAAAGATCATCAGTTTGCTACTAAACCCTATGATGATCTTTCTGGAGGGCTTTTAATAAATTGATGGCAAAGGAAGCTAGTCATGCCTTGCTGTGCCCTTAAGCCCAGCTGGAACCAGTGCTGTTTTCTCCAGACTTACCCTGACATCACTCAGAAGAGAAAAAGCTCAATAAATAGTGAAGGATAACAATTTTTCACCTTTCCAACTTGCACACAAGTTTGTACTCTGTTACTACTAAGGTAGGTAGCAAGAAGCTCACTTGAATTTGAAAGGAAGAATTAATAGGTCACACTGTCATAATTAGCTCATACGCCTACTCATATGTAGACTGTACCTGATCTTCTGTTCTTCCCTTGTCAGGCCAGCTCCAAACTTGTGGTGTATGCTGTGACATGTGTTGCTGTCTTCTAATGATCTAGGATAACAGGAGGAAGTTCAGACAAGGGAGTCCCCTACCACAGAGGGTTTTGTAATAAGCTGTTGACACTCACCCAACCTTCTTGAACTCTTTTACAGAAAAGTCCCAAATGTAGCGGATTTTCTGCACCTGGATACATCTCACCTGCAAGACCAGATAGCAAAAATTATTTTTGCCATTCAAGTGAAAACCACCTCACTGTTACAGAAATCCTTCCCCATGTTTTAGGGGAAAACTTGAGCTCATGTAAACAGGATTTGCAGGAAGATGCTGACAGAGCACACCCTTGGGAGCCTCCAGGTGCCTTGACTCCTATTTTCACCCACCATCTCCCTGCCATCTTTCATCTCCATTTTATAGATGACTTACCTTTAACTGTGGCTTCACGACAGCTCTGTTTATGACAGAGTCTTTGTCAGCTACAAGAGGATCATCTGAATCACTACCAGCAGGTAATGCCACTGTAGACAAATCAATCCAAGTCACCTTTTTCCAGGTGTATCTCTGAAACTCATCCTAGAGAAAGCGAGCACAGTTCAGTGACAAATCCAAAATGTTGCCTGTGATAATGTTTCCTGACTCTGGGAAGTATATGTGTAATCTTATCTGTGTAATCTTCCTGTGTAATCTCATCTAGGTGTTCCTGCTCTGGCAGGGGGATTGGACTAGATGATCTTTCGAGGTCCCTTCCAATCCCTGACATTCTGTGATTCTGTGATATGTGAGACTCCCAGAGAACTACAGTACTGTGGCATCCTCGCAATCATAGCAAATGTGAGCCCATAGTAACAGGGACGTTGGTATCAGTGTTTTAATGCTAATCAGTAAAGCATTTCGAAGGCAATCTCACAATTATCTCCATTTGCTTTGATTCACGCTGCAGAGCAATTTCAGAGAAGATGAAACGAAACCAGAAGATGTGCTTCAACAGTTACTGGATGGATATTTAGCCTATGGGGTCAGATTAGAGCTAGTTGGAAGTAAAAGCCTCCTGAAATACTTCTGGTGTGGACATTGAGTCCTCAGCACTAGGTGTTTTGCACTACAAAACTCCTATAAAGCTGTGTTACTTGGAGTACTTCCATAGCCCTACTGCTACAGATGGACATGTCAGACTGAATTGTCCTCTAACCATTTTAGTCTAATGTAACTAGTTACAATAAGCAATAGATTACTCATTTAGTGGTTTGAAAGCATTTATTTTAGCAATATCATTGCCATGTTGAGCATTAAGTGTCACTGGGTTTTAATTTACAGTCATGGAGTCTTAGAATGTAAGTAATGTCTAAAATCTAGCTCTCTAAAACCCATCTCCTCAGCATTCTCCAATAACTTTAAAACAGAGGGGCTACTAACAGCCATAACTTCTGAAGATGACCCCTCTGCTGAAGCCAGTTGGCTGCACCCCATGCACATAAAGGAGGAGAAGAGGCAGAGCTGTTTTATGGAACTTGTTATGGGCAGAGGGCAGCTGCTGGAGCCTGCAGATGAGCAGCAGCGATGCCTGAAGCCTGCTCAGTGCCCAGCCTTCACACAGAGCAGCTGCACTCTTGTTACTGTAAACATCGTCTTTTATGCAGTATTTCAAACTCTGAAAATAGAAATGGTTGGTGCTCTGAAGCTTGACTCATCCCTGTCAAAAAGTGGAAAGTTATCAACCTGCTACATCATGCAGAGACAGGCTGCTGTATCTGTGAGAACAATAGATCCTGCAAGTAACAATGAGCTTGGAGGGTTCACCTACTGTTGTTCTGAGCAGGACAACATCTGCTTCTTCCAGGCTGCAGCGGATGCAGTTTGCCCAAACATACCACTCTGGCTTCCAGTAAAACAGCAGCAGCAGAGCCCCACAGGATAAGATGTATCCAGCAATGCACAAGGCCTTTTGGCAGCCTTGGGTTTTGTAGCCAAAAATCTCCTGCACAGCAAAGAGAAAGAGTTCTTTGTTAACAAGTTTGACTTTGGTGTTTGTTCATCAGCACACCCAAGCTTATTGAGAACAAAGGCTGGTGACTGAAGCCCTTCCTCAAAACTGCTCGAGGTAATTTTTGGAAATGAGAGTTTGGTGATTGATATGACACAAGAATACAGCAGCGTTGCTGAAAGGAGGATGCTGCTGAGCTACTGCTGGCAAAGGAGCATTCTCACATCACCTCTCCCAGGATTCATGAAGAACTAACTCCAGTCTGGAGCTTTTACCATCAAGACTGCAGCTGACCCTTCATGTAACAGTTCTTTATCTGCAGTGCTAGCACCAAACAGCTCTGCCTGCCACTGAGGAGGATGTCTCCATGCAAACTGAGCACTGGTTGCTGAAATCCACCTTGCAGCAGGGGCATGGAATCTGCCTCAGGAAAACAAAACTGACAAGCCCTGAGCACCCTCTCTCAGGTACCAGGTACTATACCTACCAGTGTGTTACCTTCCACCACATACACCTTATCTTCAAAACAAACACGGAAGGGCTCTTTTTGCTCTCTACATTCTCTTCCTCCAACTTATTCCCCAGGTCGTCTGTCATCTTCCTTACTTGCCCTTTCATTTTGATAACCCAACAGTCACCTACTCAGTGATGCTCTGCTGTCTGTGAAGGAGATTGTTAAGTCCATCACTTTAGTTTTTCCCTTTGAGAAGAACTTTGGATTCTTGTACCCTTTCATTTGCTTTAAATGTGCCCATGGGGTTAACAGTAACTTTAATGCCTGTAGCATAGCTGGATCCTTCTCTACATGCTGGGTGCTTTCCCAGCCCTCTTAGCACCCTGCAGGGCATGAGAGAAAGTGGGAGATGCTTCATCCACAGCTGTTGGCTCACAGCACCAGGAACGCCAACCCTTTGGACATGTCACCCACATCCAGCCTGGCCACAGCTCTCATGCACCAAGACAGTAGCTGTGATAGGTGCTGCCCTGGCCCTGCAACCCTACATCCACCCCCTCAGCAGCTGTGTGAGCATCCCTTTCTGCTTCCCTGCAGGCACCAAGACAGCCCACCATGGGGCTCGCTTTGTGCTACCCATGCTATGGTAGACTGTATAAAAGTTTATTTGGAAAGGAATTTTGTTTTAAGGCTGAAATGAAAATCTAGAAAAAGAGATTTAATTTTTTGTGTTGCATCCACTGCTAAAAAAAACCCCAAACAAACCCACAAAACAAAACACTAAACAATTGTTTTCCATCAGGTGTCTTCA